TTATAATTATTATTGTTATTATTATTATTAACACTAAGCCTAAACACCAACATTTTAGAAGAAACTTCTGAATTCTGTGATCTCGGCCCTAATCACTTATAACAAACTGTCATCAAAATATTTAGTAAAGTAAACAAGATTTATGCTCTTATTAAAAGGACTTGCAAAGTTCTTGATGATGTTGGCACCCTCAAGGCGCTGTATTGTACCCCGGTAAGAAGTGTGCCATTATCTGGTCACCTAACACAAAGCAAGGAACATCGACAATTTGGAAAGAATTCAGCCAAGAGCTACTAGGTTCGTTTTTAAAACTGATGATGATTATGGCACTCGCATAGAAAAACTAACTTGTTATCTTTACAGGAAAAGCGTTCTTTGTTGGACGTTTCGTTTTTGGTGCGGCTTACACGAATCGTTTAACGCCACTCGATGTTAACATCTAGCCATAAATGTCCGAAGGGGTATCCGGATTTCCGGATTTCTGTCAGGATTCGAGAATTCCTTCTAAGGGCCCTCTGTTTTCTTTTTGTCTCCTTTTGGCAAAGTTTTACAATTGCTGTTGCTGGAACATATCACTAGAAGTAATCAGAGAGCGTTTGATTCCTTAGATTACAGCTAGTTTCCTTCAATTTCCTTTGTTCTTCGTGACCGAAATGAAGAAATTTACCTCAAATAAAATGCAAGCTCGAGGCTCCTGTTATCGATAACTGCACCTTTACTGAGATATGAAGTCCACTGTGAAATATTTTCCTGCGGAATTTCCTTGTTTTAGGGGCCGACCATTTAACTTTTGAGTGGGGTGGGGTGGGTGATTTCTGGTCATCAAGAAACTTTTTTTCTAGCAGTCTGCTGGGCAGGATATTTTTTCCGTTCTAAATGCTCTACAGGATATTTTTTTCCCTCCTGATTTCTCTGCAGGACTTTTTTTCCCTCAAAAAAGGGTCATGTATTTTCATATACAAAATGTATTTACATTTACATTGTGGTCATTGCAGCAATAGTTCTAATTTTTCTATGTTTTCGGAAAGTCATTCTTTACAATCACTTTATATTACGTCAAATAAAGTGATGCACCAAAGGCAGAGGTGAAAACATTTAGTTTCTTAATCAACAAAAAAAAAAAACCAAAAATAGCAGAATGCAGTTTCAGTAGAAATGCTCATAGCATGGTAAATGCTGCTGGAATCATTAGTTGCAATATAAAAGTGGACTTAAATATCCAAAACAAATGTGAAAGCAAAATTGAAGTTAGTTGATTACGATAGCTCTGATACTTTTTGCTCAGCCTTTTTTCATTCCACTTCTGCATTGAGTACCTCAAAGTTGAACAAAAGCAATGTGATGGTTTGCAACATTTTTTTTTCTTTCTTTCTTACAGCAACGCAAGAATTTTTTTGTTACATTTGGGCTGCATGCAATTTTTTTCTTCCAACAAGCGCTAACAGGAAATTTTTTTTCAAAATCACCCACCCTCCCCCCTCAAGAGTTAAATGGTCGGCCCCTTATTGCTTGGAAATTGGGCTTACCGTAATTAATTATTTGCGAAACGAAATAAAAATCTGTTACTAAATAGTAATCTGTTTAATGAATTGCGAAGTAAAAATCTGTGATTTGTGAAATAGAAATCTGTTATTTGCGAAATGGACACCTGTAATTTGCGAAACGAGGATCTCTGCGGAAAACTCTACAGACCGGAAGAATGAAGCGGTCAGTTCACCGCAAGTGTGGATTGCATACGCAACCTCTCAAATTATTAAAGGAGGAGTTGCGTCATTAAGCCATAAAGAGCAAATGTAATTTGAAACATTAGCAGACGCCAGAGCTGTACTTTATATGAGGTATAAGCAGAGTATGTGTTCGATGAATAATTCGAATGCGTGACAGGCTATCTTTAAGATAAGGAACGGGGAATGAGGAATGGATACGGGGATTGAGAAATCTTTAAAACGGAGAATCTTCAAAATGGAGAATCTTTAAAACGGGAAATCATTAAAAGCGGGAATCTTTAAAACGGGAAATATATAAAAGCAGGAATCTTTCAAACGGGAAATCCGAGTTAATAGCGGGAATCAAGCGGGAATCTTTTAATACGTGGAATCTTTAAAAGCGGGAATCTTTAATTCGGGGAATCTTTAAAAGCGGGAGTCCTTAAAACGAAATTTTTTTGTCGGTGGATGGCAGTGGCACTCGATTATTGTTATTTTTTGATTTGCCTAAAAGGTAAGTCAGCCATCAGCCCTATGAGCAATTATGATTGGATACTCTGATCCGGCATCGTTTTTCGGCACTATCCTAAGGTTCAAATAACAGCCGGCTGCCGGCGGTAGACTGAATTTTTAACACACTTGCTGGCAATTTTTCACCAAAAAAGCTAGAATTTTTATGGAAACTATTTTGCTTGTTGATCGTCCAACTGAAGTAAAAGTCGCTGTCCTGTTATGGTGAACATTTCATGTCAGACAATAAAGCCGCCAAGAAATGTTTTAAAAGCTTTTTGGAGACGTAAACGAGTATAAAGCGTCGAAATTTTCAGTGTGCTACAAGGTGTATTTTTGTTTACAGTATTCAGCTTCCTATGTATTTGTTCAAACGTGAAACATGCAAGTTTTTGTACACACCATCACATTACCGTGTTTATGTTTCTGCACGTACATACTACCTTAAATCGAGATTTATTTTCCACCAAATCCTGTTGAATGTCGTTTGTGTAGCCTGGACAAAACTTGGGGCAGGCCATAGCTTACGCAATGGTGTAGGCCATGGCCTACCCTGTGGCCTACCCTATGGCCTCTGAGTGGTCAGATTTTTAAAAGCACAGCAATGCTGCAAGCCTTTCAATGTTTTCCTGGGGACTGTCTTACCAACGACTTTCTTCTGCTGTTTTGGCAGCCACATTCCGATCAAAATCTCTTAACCTTCTAATAGAACAAGGAAATCGAGGAACAGAAGCCGGTCAAACGCAAACATCATCAGATTATCTCTCCTTTCAAACTAGTTCAATACTGGCCCTCTCTCTGCACTCACATTATTGCGTGACAGAGCGAGGAAAATTTTAAAAACCAGCAGTCAACCACCGGTTGTTTTGTATGTCTGCCTGTGGGCTGGTTTCCAGTTTCTGTCAGAAAAAACAAATTGGCCTGGCACCTACTGTTTGCGTTTTCTTACCTGGATTTGTTGTCCGATATAATACCGTTCATTACATTTTTTCACTAGGACTCTACTTTATGTCTACCCTTTTTAGAGGCATAGAATTGTACACCAGCGTACTCGTTCGACTCTTACTGATTTTATTTTTATGTTTTTAGCCATACCCTCCCCCGAGGAGAATTATTTCTCCTCGGGGGGAGGGGGGAAGGATACGGCTACACGCAGGCTATTCTCACTTAAAGTTCAACTGTTCGAACAAATGTCTACGCCGATTCCTTATTTCTCTCTTTATTCTTAAGTTTAGGGTGGTCGGTCTAGTATGGGGTCTATTACTTCTGCTGACCATCCCTATGGCATTCTTTGTTTCTTAGTCTTTCTTGCTATTAAAATGTAAGAAAAAAAAGGTCACCGAAGTTGCATTTCCGTTCACATCTACTCTGGCCTGGTCCTCTCATCGTTCTTCCCAGCTATTTTCGAGTAAAGCTGTGAGGATCGCGGGCGCACCAGTGAACACCCCCGTCTTGACAGGGGTCACCGAGGTCCCACTTCCGTTCATATCTCGTCGGTCTTCTCAAATATTCTGGCACAAAGCTGTGAGGATCGGGTGCGCACCAAAGAGCACCTGGCTTCACCGCAGGGAGGCCAAGCTCTCCCTGAGAGGATTGTATTACAAGCTCTCCATGAGAGGATAACATTATAAGGTTTTGTATGGGAATTTACCGGCTCCCCTCTGGAACTCCGTAAATAACGAAGAAAATTATGTTTAACCTTCAGATAGTGTTATTTGTGTTATTTTTTGTTCTCTAGTAGCGATTTCAGGCCATTTTGTTTAGTTTTACCTGAGATCTCACCCGCTACTGCCTTTATTAAGAAAAAGGTAAGTGAGGACGGCTTCGTCAGACCAACGATCCACTTTAAAAAATTGTTCGATTCTCAGCATAAACCACGTCTTCTTGTCACGAAAGACTGCTCCATTTATTTGACGAAGCCTTCCTCTCTTTCCTTCTTCTTAGCAAACAGTAGTGGGATGAGATCTCAGCTAAACTGGGCGAAATGGCCTGAACTTGAAATCGCTACTAGAAAACAATTATGACACAGGCAACACTATTTGTAGGTTGGAGTTAATTTGCTTCACTGTTAACGGAGTTCCAGGCGGAATGTAAGTTCCCATACAAAGCTTTAAAGTATTTCCTCGTATTATAGCCTATAAAATAATCCTCTCACAGAGCTCATAGTCCCCTCTATTAAGTATGCAGAGCTTGAGTAGCCTGTGGCTGCACACGCTGTACTGTGTATTACAAAGGTCACTTAGGTTGTACTTCCGTTCACATGGACTGTACACTCATGCGTACTAAATGCGTTGTTATATAGATCGTCGAGGCCTCACTGTAGTTTAAGAACATTAGTGTTAATGATATGACTTTCGTGTCATCCAAGCATAAGTTAGTCATCTTGTTGTACAAGTTACTGCTTGTGATATTTTTTGGAACTACGCCATTAAACACTGTAAGTAGATTCAAAGCTGAGAAAGATTCCATGATGTCTAACTTGTTGCTGTGATGTTGAGATAACCGGTATGTTGGTTTCTGCAACATAACATCTTTAATTTGTAGGTCTTAGATGGAAAAGCGCCCTCAACATGGAGATGGTCAAAGCGGCCAAGAACCAAATAGCAAAAAGCGTAAGTCTGACGTCTCTGCATCATCATCGAGCAAGAAGAAATCAGACTTTAAAAGTGTGCTCGTGTTGAGATCAGGCATTGATGTGTTTCCCGAAAACGGACAAATTCCGTTACCAAATAACAAAGGACTGACCAAACTCAGGAACGTTTCAAGTGGTCGATTCAAAACTGATGTAGAATTCACAAATAGGATGAGCGCATCAGATGTCGAAGAGGTGCTGAAACAAAATTTCCCAATTTTGGAAAAATATACAAGGTAATTGTTTCAAGTATGCGGTAAGCCTTCGGGGGCCACTTTTTTTTCCTTGTTAAACGAAGCGTTATTATTTTAACTGTAGTTCCGGGAAAAAATGTGGTGAAATATTGAAACGCACGCGATTTCTTCACAAAAATGTATGTTCGAACTAAATCACAGGCGGCCCAAGCGTACTGTGTGTGATTTTGGTTCTAAAGGTTATAAACGGTATTGCAGAATAGATTAAGATCGAATTTTAAGCGTAATGCACTTATTAACGGCCATCCCGGGCGGGTAACCCCTGGGACATATGCGGGTATGGCCCGGCATTTGTTAGCTTTGTTTGCAAATATTAAGCCCGGGATGGGGGGATTGGATTGCTTTCGCACTTTCATAGCAGGATCCTCAGGGGAAGACCCATGGGATTTGTAGCTCCACCATTGGCCATTGTATATGCATTTGAGAAAAGAGACCTCGTTCTTTAATTAATGCCATGTACCTGATTAAAACCCAGGTATTTCTATAGTATTTTTAAAAAGATGGCTCTCTGCTTTTTCAAATATGCATGGATACTTTTTCTTTTTGTGGATTGCATCTGTGTCAAACTGTAAATTCTACATTGTAAACAAACACAGGATCAGGAGAACAGAGCTTTCATTATTGTCTTTCCATTGTGTTACTTGCCCAAAAAAATACATGTATCAATTGCCAAACTTTACTTGTTTCCAATTATATTTTGGCAAATTATATAAAGCATTTCAAAAAATATTCAAGGAATCCTAGTTCTTCATTACCATGAAACAAGAATATTCTCTCCTTCCCCATTCCATCACTTACATGGTAAACTGAGCCTCCTCATGTGTAGAAAATAAGTGGAACAGCTTTCTTTGCTTATTTTTAATTAATTCATATGTTTAATTTACTAAATATAAAATTAATTATGGCAAATAAGATTCTTTTGAAATGTTGCACTGTTTCACTTAGCAGAGCAATCTTGGTTTTAGGTAGGGGGGGATTTGTAAATGCTGCTGTGCAAATGCCTGGGGGTTCCCTGGGGTCACCCCCTGGGATGGCCGCTGATAAGTGCCGAAGTATGGGGTGTTAAATAAAGGAAAAATTAAGAAAAATTAAGAAAAAATTAAAAAGGATAATAAAAGTGAGGAATATAACATGTAGTCTCCTTACCTTTCTTCTGTAGCTGCTTTGTTGTTTATGGTCTTATTAACACTGCTTTAGCAACTTTCTTTGTAATGCGTGTGGTGCTATCAATCAGCTGTATATATAGAAAAACACAAGGCTGGAAACTTCAACCAGTCTCGAAAACCAACTGTCACCACTCAAAGGCCAATAAATTCCACAAAAGTCGCCTGATCTCCCTCAAATTTCCACCCATGAGAGCACTTCCAGGGGCAAAAATTTCCCAATTTTGCTGCATTAAACTGGGAGCTGCTCTGTCTTACCACCCATTCTGGCTTTGTAAGTACACATAATCCTTTTGTCCCTATTACAGGATTCAAATATTGAAGCATATCTCACCAAATTAAAGACTCTCCTGGGGATCAATAGAAAGGTTGTTACATTTGCACTATTGTCAAACAACGTCATCTGGAGAGATGTGCCTGTAATTCTACCAATTTTTTAACAATTTTTCTTTTTTTCAACAGCTTACTATTATACTTGAAATTCAATCTTAATCTGTTATTTATCACTGTTAATGACCTTTATACCACAAAATCACACACAGTATGCTTGGGCTACCTGTGATTGAAAAAGTTTTTAGCCTCGTAGGTTATAGATTGTTCACGTGGTGCCTGCTATTGCCACTGTGCACTCAAGCTGTGCACAAGCCATGGTCATTCATGCTCGCACATAGGTGTAAAAACTCGTCTCCAGCAATGATCACCCCTTTTATTTACAGGTCAAATTGGTTTAATCGTGCTGCCTTTGGTTCAACTGAAAGAAGAAAATTTTACTGGACAATTAGTCCCATTGAAAAACACTGAGAGGAAAATGAGAAAAAATTTTTTACCCATAGATTCATAAGTGTTTCACTTGCCTATGGGGAAACAGAAAAAGAAAACGCAATATGTAGTATTTTTCCTGAAATCATCTTTATCCAAAAACTCTGATGAAAGAAGACCATTTAAATAACTTATTTTCAAAGAAAATGACAGTACATATGCATATAAAGTTTTACTCTGAATTGAAGAATAAATACTAACTTGAAATCACTGGATGTTTATGCATTTGTCCAAACAAGCTTGAGGATCAAGCCTGAGTAGCAAGACGAAAATCACCAAGAAAAAAGCTTTATTCAAAAAATTTCTTGATTGAGTTAGGAGTGAAAAAATAAAATGCCCAAACTTCTTGCATGTATAAAAATTCTGAAAGCTGTACAGTTTGACTCAAAAACTGCAATCAAACAACACTTTATGGACACATCATAGAGTAAACATGATATTAACTGGGCCGTGGAACTGTCAAATTGTTGCTAGGCCTCACTTAAAGTAATAAAGTTCAGTTTTCACTTATCGCCATAATTCGTATCACATCTGAGAATTGGAATGTTGATCAATCAAAAGCTTATGCCGTCACCTCTAAGACTTTGATATCTATTATTATTTCAACTGCCTCCCTGTTAGCTCAATAGGTTAGAGTGCCAGATTATGTTGTGCAGGAGGTTGAGGGTTCGAGCCTCGGCCGGACCGATATACTCATGGTCTTAAAATAACTGAGAATTTGCTACCTTTCTATAATATCAAGAAATGGATAGATATTCTAGTC